TTCAACAGTTTAAAGGCTGAGTTGGATGCATGATACCCTACCCACATTTCAACAAAGAAAGGCAGCAGGGGATTTTCCAGGGGCCCTTTTCATCACACTGCATGGATTCAGTGGGAATCTGGCAGATAAATTCAGTAAAACTCACAGTGCTATCCATCAGCACAGGCCTCAGTGGAGCTCCATTGGCTGCTGGGGAATTTCATGAAGGCAGCATATTATAAAAGCATGGGCGTTATTAAAAGTAAGTAGATTTGTCTGAGAGTAAGCTCATAGTTCATGACAACACAGCACTATTTAAAGAACATTTTTTCTTTGCCCTCCTTCAGAAGAAGGGTATTATTTGTTTTATAATGTAGCTCAAAATACCTCTTTAAAATCCATAAGATACTATGGAAGTGACAGGTTCACGATGAATAGCTTCTCCTCCAGATTAATTTCTGTTTTATTCCCTAAGTGAAGCACAGAGCAGCAAGCTTTATACAAAAGTGAGTCAAAAGTAGATGTTTTTAAAATGAGAATTGTTGTCATGCACAGCTCTGAAAGAAGTCTAAGTATGCTTTCTAAATATGCATAAGTGAAATATAAGAAAAAACCCAAAATACCCATGAATGTATCAGGAACATTTATGAACATGTAATTATGAATTACATTTTTGAATATGCAATTAAAAACAGATGGTTGGCACCCCTGCTTTCCAAACTAAAATAACAGAAGAAATTGTGCCAGGTTGTGGACTCATATTTGCACTATCAAGTATTTTAATTTTTTTAATGAAGGTTGGTTTCAAGTCATATTTGGCCAAACTTTTCAAAACACAATAATAAAAATGCCACATTAAACTTTATAAACTGTATTTTAGGACACCATTTACCCCCTCCTCCTTAAAATTAAAAATATTGATAATTAGAAAACAGAGAAACTGTGTTTTTAACTCACAATGAATGTTTGCCATGGAATATCATAAAACTCCTGAAACACAGAGCCTAAGGAGAAATGCTGAGTTTTCTACAGCCTATACTACAGTTTTATCAACCTGAGTTGCCAAATCCTGAGAAGATGGAATTCAGGAAAACTTCAGTTGTGCTGGTGTCCAAACTATTTTTAAATACTTCTTTATTTGATGATCAAGTGCTCATTCTCTTATTAATCTTGTTGCTAACAAGATTATCAATCTTTGTAAAGCCTTATTATTACTGCAGCAATGAGATAATCTTAATGTTTATTATTAATTTTAAAGGGATAATGAAATCTCTAACGAGCTATAGGGATGAAGAGAACCTTCCTCAAAAGTCCTTCTCTGAAAAGGTCATTCTTATCAGCAACTCTTCTATATACTTAAAACTGATTGTGGCATTCAGCAAGTTTCATTTTCCAGCTAAATTATTCAGCACCTGTAGGAAGCCATTCTGAAAGCTTTCTTACACAGCATGAGACGAAGCACAAGTGGTACGGGGACGAATATTTGAAATGGCAAAGTTGCTAAGGCATCTGAACATCCAGCCAGAATTAGTGCCAGAAATAAAAACAGCTGGCTAAACTCAAGGAAAAGTCAAGAGAAGCAGGCAGTTGGAAGACAAGCAGACTCCAAGCAATGTGTGGTATTTTCAAGGGCACCTCTCCTCAACACTGATAAATCAATTCCTGTATAGATTTTTTTTTTTTTCCTGTACACTGCTTATTTAAAGCCTGTGCATAAAAGGGTGCAGCCTTTGGGATGCTGACCCCTTTCAGCACCACTCCCCCAGCTCAGCCCCGCAGGAATTATTGCTGCTGGATTCCCACTCCTCAAGGAGCAAGGGCACTCATCCAAAACCTTTCCATGGAAACTCAGCAGCCCTGGGGCAAGCCAAGGCTTGATCCATTACCAGTACTCACTAGAGAATGGCAATATCTTGGCAATTTTCTGCACAGCTCTGGATTTAAGGGCAGCCCTGGGCTGGTGAAACATCCCAACTCCTACAGCAAGGGCCATGGAAGTGGGGGACAATGCCTGACAGCAGCTGCACCCAAAACACGGGGCCTGCTTCATTTTTGGAATTTTTGCTGGTTAGACTGACTTTGAGAGGCATTAGAAGGTCTTTTTCTTAGCCCAGCAGTCCAAGAAGGAGTCAAAAAACTCTTCTATTTTTGAAGAGTCAAAAAAAGTTTTCTATTTTTGTTTTTAAGATTGTTTATTGTTTTTGATCTATAAAATTCTTTTTCTGAGTCACTGAGGTCTGTCTAGCAGGTCAGGTTGAGGCACACTGCCCATCTTTGGGGCGGTGTTATCTTTTCATACTAAAAATTACCTGTACGCTATTTACAATAACTTCTCAATACTTATTTTAGATAGTGAGCTTCTACTCTAAACTAATTTTAAAATGCTAACATCACTTAGAAGATGGAGGTTAGGAAGAAGAAAGAAAAAGGACAAGGCACACCTAAATTCTTCTATCTTGGGACTTTGAGCCCCTATTCTAAAATCTTCAAAAATCTATTTTTTACTTTGTGACAAACTATTATTCCACTTAAACATTTTGACGTGTAATTCCTCATATAAAGGTTGGTAATTGTTTTTTCTAAGGGCTAAATCAAAGGCAAAGGGGTCTTGGGCTCTGTGCCAAGGTGTCTGAGCTTCTTGGCAGGGTCTTGAGTCTTCCAGGGCAGTCAGAGGAATTTTTTGGGTTGTGACACATCATGGAGAGGAAATACCCCTGTTGAAGCGAGCCTCAGAAACAGAGAGCATTTTTGCCAAGTTCATTCTTAGTTCAACTTCCTCTCTATTAGATTTTTAACTGTAGCAATGGCACCAAAAGCAAACCAACAAACAAGGAAAAAACCCTCCAATCAACGAGCAAAAAGCAACCAAAGTTACTGCCACAACGGCCTGGTGTACACAAACACAAAATCAAACTCTCTGCCAGCTTGTGTCATGTCTCAACAATGGGAAAAGAATTCTATGCCTAGACACATTAAATTTTCAGATCTCACTAAGCAAGCACAAGAGATTTCTGCAGCATTTTCGTGTTGCTGTCATATTTGCATCAACTTCCTTTTGAAGTTCCTGTGAGGAAACTCAGAGATAAAAGATCAACCGATGTTCTTGTGCAAAAGATAAAGCGAGGATTACCAGACTTACATTGGGCTTTGCAGGAAAACACAGCATGTGAAACTCTTGAAAATACCTGAAAATAGGTTGTCAAAGGCAGGACTATAACTGTTGTAATCAGACTTCTAAGAGATTATGTGATCAAAATATGTTACAATAAAATGCAGTGCATTTTATTAGAAATAAATAAGAAAATTAATGCCAACGTATACCCATTTTATCATTAAAATATTTATCAAAAACTAGAGGCTTTTAGAATACTGTTTTCTTTTAAGAAAGGAACACCCTGTCCTCTTGAGTATAACAACAGCAATTCTCAAAACTTTAAAGCAATTTAAAGTTTTTAAAGAGAGGTAAGACTCTCTGGTAAGAGAAGGCTGGGGATGCTAACACACAGAGCTCCTAAACCCCACGCTTTATGGGAATTCAGGACACAATTTTACATCACAGGTTGCATCTTGGCCCTGCTTGGAACTCTGTTTCCAAGTGTAATGGTGCTATCAAATGGTGCAATCAGCAGTGGGAGTGTCTGGGGGCAGACACTTCATTTGAACACTTCTCTAAATTCCAGCAGAACACAAAAAATGGAAAGAAGAACAGTCCCACAGAGCACTTGAGGGGCTCTTGGTAAGAGTGGGCAAGCACTGACTGCAACACTGGTTCTTCCCTAGCAGGTAAAAAGAAGCTGTGACACTTCACTGTGACATTCTGTCCTCTCCACATTACACATCAAGTAGAATGTTTTGTGGAATTAAAATTTTTAGAGCTCAGCATAGTCAAACTCCTTCTTTAAATGATCTAAAGCCAAAAAGAATTCTAATCTCTAGCAGGCAATACAGGTTTTTCCAGTGCATAAATTCGAACATACAGCTGGAGTGTGAAGACTGATATAATATATTTGTAAATATTCTGTATGAATATAAATCATAATAATTTATAGAGTTGGATTTCTAACCCTTTTTCTTTAACAACCAGACACCCACTCTTTGAACTCATGTAAATAAAGCCATTTATAGTAGTCTGTATTTTTTGATGATACAATTAAGTTTGAGAAATTAGGTCTTTTTGGTAAATACAATGAGAAATGCATTTTAAAAATCTGAAATAGTACTGTAGGTGAACAAAATTTCAAGTAAAGACATATGAACTTGACATGAATTCCTCAAAACCTTTAGCTTGTCAGGGATTTTCTATGTTCAACAGAATGTATAATAATCTCTTGTTGAAAAGGGAGCTATAATTCAAGCAGTATCCAAGAACCTTGTTCTGAACGTGGTGAACTTTGGATGAATGATTTCCAAAGGCCTGAAATGATCCAGTATGCTTAAAAGGAGCTTAAAAAAAACTGTGAACTGCAGGCAAAATTACAGTATCCTTCATTTAAAATAATAAAAGATAAATAAATTCAGAGTCTCTGAATTTCACTCATGTTTTGCACTAAGACAGGGCCACTCATGAAGGCCACTGACAGATGTCATTTATAGGTATAATCTGCAACTCCCACACTTAAATCTCATAGAATTTTAAACACTAAACAATAACACTGCAGTGAAAATGCTCTTACAGATGGTTTCCTGTACATAAGAGCAATCTGTGGATGATGTTAATTGCATTACTTGATTCCTTAACAGAGAACTTCATTTCACTACTTTAAATGCCTCTGCACTTTAAATACCTGCATACAACTGCACAGAAGAACTCAAGACACCCTGAGAGTGCAATTTTGGCACCTCTAACCTTTTTGGAGATACTCCTGCAGTTATTAATTTATTCATTATTTCCTATTTTTTTTTTAAGTAGTGATGTTGACATTCGTATATTAAAATGTTTAAATATTAAACCTGACTTTCCATCCATAATTAGAGAATATAGACATACACAAACCAAAGTTTTCAAGAATAAAAGATAAACCAACCTCAGAAACATCTGTCCTGTTCACTAAATGAAGCCAGGTCCTCTGGGATGAGTCAGAAAGTGATAAATTCAGGGTCCTGAGTGGAGAACACAACAATAATATTAAGTTCCCAGATCTGAAAAGACAATGGTCTTTTTCAAAGTGCTTTCTGGAAAGTATATTTTCTCTGCTTTCTTTTTCTAAAAATATTACCCATTATTCTTACAATAAGAGACTAATGACAATAAGAATAATTTTCTCAGAGGCAGAATAATGTTTCGGTTTCTAAGTTTTTTGAATATATGCGTGAATAAAAATAGATTTTTCAAACAAAGTCCTTAACAGCAAACATATCAAGATAATGAAGGAATCAAGAAATTCTGCCTCTTTCCATCAGTCTTAATTTAACCACAGAAATTAAGCACTTCATGTATTCCTTGGGAAACTACTAAAAGGCATTAAAAGCTGCTGTTACTATTTGCTGTTGGTACATAAAGGGCATTAAAGTTTACACCACATAGCCAAGTTTATTGAGGAAACCTTTACTGCCATCCCCAAGAGGGAAATTCACATTACCTCAGGTGTCTCACCCCAGAAACAGCCAGTGCTTAAACCCCTACTCCAGTAGTGACCTCAGTGCCAAGTATGGCATTTGCCCAAATAAATCCAGGAATTCACCACTGGAATTTACACCCTGAACAATAATTGGTGAGACAAGGCTGAATATCACAGTGATCCACAAGATCACTTATTTAATTTTATTTGAGAGGGGAAATGTCCAATAAGCCTAAAAGATGAATAACCTGATGTCCTCAAAACCACTACACCTGTGGAATAAAGCCACATCAACAAGAGAAATTTCCCAAAACTTCCACCTTTCTTTGAGAAGTACTTTTTACCAGTTAATAACAAAATAGAGCAAAAATATTTGGTTTTTTCTCTTTTTTTTTGGATTTTTTTTTTCTTTCCCTCACAGGTCTGGCATTCCTGAAAATATATACATTCAACAAGAAAGATGGAGGGAATCTCCCTTTTCTTGCACAAGCACTCTGCCATCAGGCCAAGGAACCACAGAGAGGTGTTAAGCTCCTTTACTGGGCAGAGTTGGAGCAAATCCATCCTTACCTTGCACTTTCTCAATGAACCAACCAGCCCACCCAGAGTGAACACAAAAACAGGGATGCTGGGCTTTGCAGGAGATTTCCTGAGTACAGACATCACTGACCTGCCCAGAATCATTCAAGTGAGCCTTGTGCCTTCCAGGTGGCTCCAGCAGCAGGTGAGAGTGGTGCTGGCACCCAGGAACTGCTACAGCTCCTCATGTCAGAGCGGAAAATTCACACAAAAATTCCATAGCCATGGCATTAAACAATCCTGCAAAAAGAAGATTTTTGGTTTGTTTTTGTGACCTTTAACCAGCTTAAAAAAAAACTAAAATAAAAAACAATTCAGCTATTTGCTTGCAGTTAATGAAGCAGCTCCATGCACACTTTGTGACCATGTTCACAGGGGCTCTTGGATGAGGGAAGAGATGAGGATTTGACTCCATGTTTCAGAAGGCTGATTTATTATTTTATGATATATACTATATTTAAAGTATACTAAGAGAGTAGAAGAAAGGATTTCATCAGAAGGCTAGCCAAGAATAGAAAAAGAAGGAATGATAACAAAGGCTTGTGGCTTGGTTAGAGAGTCTGAGCCAGCTCACTGTGATTGGCTATTAATTAGAAACAACCACATGAGACCAATCACAGATCTACCTGTTTCATTCTACAGCAGCAGATAATCAATGTTTACATTTTGTTCCTGAGGCCTCTCAGCTTCTCAGGAGGAAAAATCCTAAGGAAAGGATTTTTCATAAAAGACATCTGTGACAATACTTCAAGCAGCAGATCACACAACAACACAGCAGCCAGTGCAGCCACAGCACAAACACAAATTGAAGATGATAGCTAAGATCCAAAACAGCAGCAAAAGGTCTGTTTATTCCCAAACAGCACCAAAATACTCCTCTTCCTGCTCCCTGAATCCCAGAGCAGGGTGATGGGAACTGCTGCAAGGTGGCTCCAGCCTCTATCACACCTGCAGGGTTAGGGGTGTGGGCAGCCACATGAGGCTGGTTTGGGGGCTTCTCATCACAGTCAGATTTTGAGGCTTTAAAGCATGACTGCTTGTTTGCCTTCCTACCTTTTTGACAATTTTTTATTTTAAAAAATCAAACAGAAGCCATTCACAATTACAGTAGTAATAGGGGCTTTTTTAAGCAGTTATTAGGACTGAGATGTTTTGCACAATGCTAAGTGTGGTTCAGGATATTATTTACTATTTATTTTTGCTACCCTGCATAAATTCAGATATTATTTTAACCCTAAAAAGCAATACTTTAATCCTGGTGAGAAATATCCTGTGTTTTAGCAGAGGCAGCTAATTCCACTGCCAGTATCACCAGCCTGAATGGCCACTGTCAGTGAAACTACAGCCAAAGGCAGGGTAACACCAGCATTAGAAAGCTGCCCTCTGGAAGCAGTGTCCAATTCTTCCCCTTTCCGTATTTTACAGATCAGCTTGTGTGAAGTTATTTAAGAACTATTGTAATATTCAGAGAGGTGATTTTTTTCTTTTTAATACACAGATTTTCTGTCTCTTTATAACGTGTACAGCTTTCCTCTGTTCTTACTCAACTATTCAAACAGTGAAATCCAGTTCTCTCCTTCTGGGGAGAAAGTAGACGGATGAATTTTTGGGGCAGCAATGGGGAGCACTCCAAATACTTCTGGAAAGTTACAATTCCTTCATAGCATGCAATTTGTATTCTAAAATATCTACTTAAGGAGCATGTAGCACCCAGCATTTAAATACTGATTTGGAAAAAGTATATATAGAAAAAAAATTACAACTTGCTAATCTCTTAGTTCTACTTAATGGTAAACCTGTTCCTTAAAAACCAGACAAAAACAACAACCACAGAACATCTCCACATTTTGAAACAGAGTATATAAAGCTTGTCTATGGTGAAACCAAGGTTTACTTGTTTATTAGCAATTAAAAATCTGCCTCCCCACCCTCACAAGGAAGAATTTCTTCCCAATCTCTGACCTAATTTCTCCTCTTTCCTTTTGAACCCAGTATCACAGAGGTTTATCTGCAGTTTATTACATTATGTGCATGTGCTTAGGATAGAAAGTTTGCCAGAGGGAAATGTGTGAGTGCAATTTCTGGGTTGTATGGAAATGGGCAATACAGAACTGGAACAAATCCTGATCCCCTCAGATTTACACCTCCATTTCTGTATCTGATTAGTACAGATAAGCACCCACACTTCTGAAGCAGCAGCTCTTCTGCAACTGCTTTACCCTCTGAAAATCTCTTCCTAACTTCTTCTGTGTTAAATATAGTAAATCAGAACTGCATTCCTTGCCACCAGCTCTCCAGCTCAGAAGGTAAAATCAAAGGCTGCGTGCAAGATAGTCAGCATTTAAAAAGCTATTAAGATCCTATCCACTCACTTTTATAAGCATTCAGTGGGGCCATAAAGGCTTCATTTTTCACAGCCTTCCCCCTGGGCCCTTTTCCCTGGGACAACAGATTTCATCAGCATGAGGTGCCAGGGAATCATTTCATGCCTTAAAGTAAGAAGAGCAAAAGATAAACATCCGAAGATGTGGAAACATCCTAAAATACTGCAAAATACTTTCTAAAAAGCAGGAGCATAGGAAAGTAGAGGTAAGGAAGGACAGGGAGGGGGAGCTTGTCCTATTGGGATGGGGTTTATCATCTCAGATGTGAGCACCAGAGTCAGGGATGTACCTCCCCCCATTAAACACCATTAAATTTTAAAGAGCCACCATTAGTGCAGGGAAGCTCCGAGCCAGGGGGTGCTGCAGACCAGGTTTCCTCTGTTTATCTCCACTTTCCATCTTTCCCTGGCATCCATTAGTGGAGAGTGCAAGAAACAGAATATGACTGGGGGAAATGGATCTTTGCTCTGACATCCTAGAGCCCTGTGCCCAGGATGGGCAGAGAAAATGCCACAAAGGGAAAGGGAACCAAAGAAAGTCAGGAGACCAGAATAGCATTTCTAATAATGATGCTGTTCCAAGCCCTTATTTCCTGGTTTTTTAGGTATTTTCCTATTAGTGAATGGGACAGAAAAGTAGCTCAATGCAATATAAATACACTTTTGATATTTGTGTAGTTCTATGTATTTTAGGGGGACTACAGGAGCAGTCCTTAGAAAAGAGACTGAAAATTTCCTCCTCAATTAATATAACAGCATCTGCCTATTGTACAACTTCAAAATTGGAACATTTGGCTAAGGTTTCTCCAAGCACAGAGAAATTAGCTCATAGCAATCAAGAACACAATTCCCAGCCTCTGTTCCTGCCTCTCCTCTGCTGGAGAAAGGAGGACTCTGACACTTCACTCTAAAGTTTATCACTTATTTCTCTTCATTATTACACGAGAAATGTGCATTTCAGATCATGGGCAAGGCATTCCATTTACCTGCTAGAGATTTCATTTCTCACCTAAAAGAGAGATCACAATTATAAAACAAATGCAAGGTCAGTGGTGATGAGCACTGTGTAGGGAACCACAACACAGATCAGAAAAGCACCAAAAAAAGGTATTTTGTTCTCCAGGCATTACAGAATTTGAGTCCTAACATAAGGCAGACCTCTGAGACTTCTTGTAATTACATTTTTTCTTTTCCCTAAATAATTATCTTTTGGCTAAAATGCATTTTTCTTTATTCCCCCTTTACTTATCTATGTATGCTCCCCTGATAGGGAAGTGTTATTGAGCTGTGAATCAGCTGCAGCCAGTGGAAACAGTGAGCTAAACAAACAGGAAAAATATGGACCCTGATGGAGCAACATTCTAAATCTGAGGGTGTCTTCATGACAATGTCCAATAAAAAGAAGAAATAAGTGGAAAAACTTCTGCTTTAAAGAACTTTAACTCAGCCATAAGTTTTCTTGCAAAAAAATGGAATTAATATTCACTACTGTAAATCTGAGGGACAACTGCACAGGTATGAGTATTCCCCAGAATTATTTTCTTTTCCTGGATGCAGGAACTGAAGACCTAACCACAATCTGCACTGCACAGTGGCAACAAGAGACCTGCTGGGCAGAACTGTGGGAATGAATGCTATAAAAGAGATGGTGATGCTGCTTTGCTCCAGCAGGCCGTTGAAGCAAACACATTTTCCTGTTCTTCAGGCACTCCAACAGCCCCTCTGAATGCTTATGCAAGCCTCAAGTCAGGATGTGCATATATATATATATATATATACTCATCTTGAATTCATGTTACATCTGGTTTTTATTGTACCGCAGGTACCTTTAAGCTCCCTGTGCTAGAATTGGACCACAACGGAAAGACATTTAACTATTTTTATTTTTACTGTCAGCATTTAACTATTGCTATGATCATTTTGTTCCTCCTGAGTAAAATAACAATAAGCTTTAGCCATCAGGTACCAGCCACTAGAATCTCAAGTACCAGAACTCACTCCAAGAGGCATTTCTATTTTTCAGCATCCTTGTTCTGATCTTGAGCTACGAAGCAATCCAATATTCTCTAGAAAGAAAGTGATATTTTCTGTTATTATTGTACTAGCAGGTTCTGTACTCCAGGTGAAGGCATTGCATTTCACTCTAAAACTCCTTGACCTTCATTAGTGCTTCAGGGAGCTTGAAAGCCAGATGCAATAACAAAAAAAAATTCAATAAAATACCCTGGTTCATATCTTTCCAGAAACAACAGGGAAAATAATAGCCATCAGGTCTAAAGATTAATTTGAAATTAAATACTTGCAGGCAAATAGGTATGATAATTGCATTAAATCATATGCTGCTTGTTTTTAAAAGGGACATGAAATCTTATAATTAAATCAACATCTAGATCATATTTTAAGTTCTATTATTTTAGTTAATCTATTTGAAAATAACTTTGAAAATAGCCAAGGCAGTCATTAGATATCGCAATTTAATCAGCACTTAATTTTGACATTTAAAAAAAAAAAGTAGATGAAGGTTTGAAATGAGATTTTTAGACATTTATGGACCAATAAAATATTCATATGTATGATGACCATTAAAGTTTTCATCTCTGCCTGCTGTATTTTGTTATACTGCAGCTCAGGACTGCCATACAGTGTACGTGTCATGCAGATTTTTCAAGAATTAAGTTTTACATGCACATGCACCTGGAATGAGTGAGTGAAGCCCTGTATGATCATCATGGAAACCTAAGGGTGGAAAAGTCACCACGCAGTGTCTCTGCAAGCATTTCACTCCAGAACACGTTTTCATGTCCCCTGACTTTACTTGACATGTTATTAAACCAATGGCATAAAAATGACCCAGTTT